GACCCCAGTCCAGAGTTTCTGAGCAGTAGGTCTGGGGCACAGCATAGGGCCGATTGCCTCTGCTAAGGATTCTCAGACGCTCCTGATGTTCCTGGTCCAAGGACCACATGGGGAGAACTCTAGAGAGTTACCATGTGTCTGGGGCTATGCTGATGGAGGGAGCAGACTGACCATGATCACCACACAGGCTGTCAAAATCTTCACAGCAGTCCCCAAACTTTCTGCATCGTTCATTGCAGTGGCAAGGGTGGTGCTTGTCGTAGGCTTCCCGGCAGCGGCCCTGGCAGGAGTTTGGTGCAGAGTACAGGTCTAAGAGGACAGAGAAACACGTGTGTGTGTGTGTGTGTGTGTGTGTGTGTGTGTGTGTGTGTGTGTGTGTCCATGTCCCTGGCAACCTCTAGAGGGTGTGCTAGGAGCCTAAGGACCAAACCCTTCTACCCACACCCATAGCTGGGCTCCTTGCTAAAGGTCTCTTGAGATCAGAGCAAACTTAATCCCTTGCGTACTCTACAGTCAGGAAGCCCTCTGTTTTCTGATGGTGTGTGTGTGTGTGTGTGTGTGTGTGTCCATGTCCCTGGCAACCTCTAGAGGGTGTGCTAGGAGCCTAAGGACCAAACCCTTCTACCCACACCCATAGCTGAGCTCCTTGCTAAAGGTCTCTTGAGATCAGAGCAAACTTAATCCCTTGCATACTCTACAGTCAGGAAGCCCTCTGTTTTCTGATATAGGACTCTGCTCTCTGGCCTGTTTTTATAATTTTCCCACTCTAAAAATACAACCTCTTCCACTTTCCTCCTCAGGCCTCAGAAGTTTTCCTGGCCACCCTCCCCCCTGGCTGCTTGGATCACACCAGTGTTTCCCCCTGGGCAGATCCAGCCTCATTCTTCTGGCTTATGCCCAGGTTCTTGCCTCTGTGGTGGCACCCTCTCCCCTTGTCACCCCTGGTGTCCTATGTGGGGTTCAGGCTTACGGTTGACTGGAATCTCTTCCTCTGGACTGAGGAATGCCTTTGGCTCTGGGGGCCCTTCTTCAGCTGTAAGGTAGGAAAATAAAGTCACCAACCATCCAAGGATTTCCCCCCGGCTTTGGCTGAGGTTCTGGGTTCCCAGCCTCGAGTTAAGCATGATAATGGAAAGGGTTTATGGACAAACCCCTGACACTGAAGGGCTGGAAATGGGAGGTATTTCCAGGGTCAGATTACTGAAAATTTAGGAAAAACAAAACTATTTCCCCCAGGTGACAAATGTCCTCCCACCTTGGCATTTGGTGCCCACTGTGCTCAGAACAACTAAAAAGAAAAGTCAGTAAAAAGTGGAAGAAGAGGCGGGCGAGCCCCTTCAGCACTGAAAACCAATCTGAGTTACCACATGAGAACAGTGCATTTTAGCATTCTCCAAATGACGAGGCTCTCAGTTCAGAACATCCTGTTCCTATTAAGAGAGTTGGGGGTGGAGGGGGGCACCTCTCCCTGGGGGTGGGCTGGGCAGGTGTTAAGTATTGTTGGAGCACTGTTAAAATCTGTTCGCAATCACTGTTAATGGTAGGGATACGTTCTTCTAGTTCTTACTGTAAATAAGCACTTCTTCGGGTGTTTTTCCTGTAAGCCAGAGGGGGGGATGGGCAGTTTGACTCCCTAACTGGCAGCTAGTGGACTCTTTTGCTGCCTTAGATGCTCAGGTTAAAGGACTGTGCCTGAAGCAGCTAGGCATTCTAGCCCGGCACCAGCTCCAGTGCTTGGAAGAAACTACTTGATGATGGCAGCTGCTTACTCCAGATCCTGAAGCCACGGTCCCAGGCGTGAACATTTCAGAGTTTCCACCACACTTTGTGCCATCACAAGCGTCTGTGAACTCTAGCTGACTCCACCACAATTTCCATCCAAGCCAGAGGCCCAGCATTTCCCCTGCTGGCCTAACCTAGCTTAATTATGGGTCACAGCCTCATAGGGGGTCATGAAGAATTTGCCAACAGTAAGATGTTTCTGAACTGTCCATAGTTGAAAATTAAACCTCAAAATTGAACATGTAATGAATCTGAGGTGTTTCTGGCAGGATTCAGTCATGTGTCATGTGACCTCCCTGCATCTTTGGTTCTGAACATACAACAGGCATTGCACTTGTCATCAAACCACCAAAGGCCAACAATCACTGCTGGAACTGGTCTGCTCTGGTTCAGGATGGCAGTATGTTATGAACTGCAGTGTCCTTTGTTTTAATGTTGTGTGAGACAGGCCCTCAGGTAGCCCAAGATGGCTCTGAACTCACTATGTAGCTGAGGATGGCCTTGAACTCCTAGGCCTCCTGTTTCTACTTCCCAAATGCTAGGGGTTACAGCATGCACCACCATACAGGGCTATCACAGTAAATGTTTGATATGTATACCTGTTTTATATAACTGTGCCCAACATCACACAAAAGTCTCTTAGGCATAAAGGAATCCCAAGCAGAGGAAGGGATGATTGTAAGGCCCTCAAAGGGATGCTGCCATGGCTAGAGTAAATGCCAAGCATTAGCTGCATGGGAGGTTTGCTGTGACTGGAGCCAACACCTCTTTTGCTCTAGCTATAACATCAAGCTTCATGAGCTTCAGGGAGACACCCACCCGTCCTGGTGTTGTGACATTAAACCCAATAAAATGTCTCTCCTGAGCATTTTCTTCTCCAAGGAGAGTGGGTTGAGCTGAACCCAAATTAAAAGCCAGCAGCAGCACAACTGGGCTGGAAAAGGAAGCAAGCTGCATCAGTAACAGCAGGAAGACAGGCAAACTGCAGAATCGGTGGGCAGAAGGGACCAATGGGAAATACACCACCCTTGAGACAGGCATTAACTCCTGGAGGGAAGGAAGGGCAGGGCCCATGGTGGATCATGACACACGTGACCACTCCCTCGATTGGACGATTTACATGATTACCTTTCCTGTTGGGTCAAAGAACCATACCTAAGGTCTGTGCACCTCTCACTGGCTAGCCCTGCCATGTGCTCAGAGCCACCGGTCTCAATAAAAATGATCAAAGTTCCAAGCTAGTCCCTGCCCTAAGTCTCGTAAAAGGCCACCAATAGGGCAACAAAGCAACATGGTAGTATCCTTGATCCTCAGAACCCCTCCCACTTTCTAGAGTCTTTCTCACTTTTTAATTTAATAAGTCCACATTAATTCAATTTAACTTAGTAAGTCCACATTTTAATTTAATTTAATAAGTCCACATTAATTTACAATGCTGGCTCAGTAGCAGCTTTTCCTTATTCTTCTTAGATGCAAAACAATTAACTAAACAAGGAGTCTATTAAAAAATGATTTTTCAAGGTCTGGAGAGATGGCTCAACAGTTAAGAGCCGTTGCACTTCCAGGGGAAGTTGGGTTCCCAGCATAAGCATCAGGTGGCTTGCAACTGCCATAACTCCAGTTCCAAAGGAGCTAACACTGTCTTCTGGCCTCCTTAACTACACACACACACACACACACACACATGCATACACACAAATAAATAAATATAAATATTTTAAAAATGATTTGTCATGAAGTATTCACTTAGCTGGACCTGGGCATCAGAGTCTGCAATCCAAGCTACTTGGCAGGCTAAAGTAGGAGGATCACAAATTCAAGACCAACTTGCACTCTGTAGTGAGTTCAAAGCTGACCTTGGAAACTTAGTTACATCCTGTCTCAAAATGAACTGTAGAAAATGAACTGAGAATACAGCTCATATATGAGTACCTGCCTCATATATCTGTGACCTGTGGTGCAATCCCTAGTACAGCAGGGGAAATGCATTTAAATCTGTGCTTGTAGAGAAGCAAATGGTCATCTGGGGAAGGGCATGCCTTGTTTCTTTTCTTTTTTTTCTTTGCTTGTTTTGTTTTGTTTTACTGTTATTTTGAGACAGGTTCTTACTATGAAGCCCTGACTGTTCTGGAACTCACTCTGTAGACCAGGCTAGCCTCCAACTAACAGAAATCAGCCTGTCTTTGCCTCCAGAGTGCTGGGATTAAAGGAGTGTGCCACCACATCCTGTATAGGAAGGACAGTTTAAAGCAGTGTCTGCTCAGTTCACTCCCTGGAGAGGCATGGTCTGTGCTATGACAGTCAGTGAGGCCAAACAGTCTCCCCATGTCATTCTGATTGTGAGGATTGCCTGCCATTTGTGTGTGTACTTTGAGAGTGACTCATAGTGAACAATAATATCATATATACTAAAGTGTTTTGAAGATGTATTTGTTTATTATATATACAGTGTTCTGCCTGCATGTATGTCTGATCTCATTATAGATGGTTGTGAGCCACCATGTGGTTGCTGGGAATTGACCTCAAGCCCCCTGGAAGAGCAGCCAGTGCTCCTAACCTCTGAGCCATCTCTCTAGTCCTCTTCAAGATATTGCTAATTGTGATTGTTCCCTGAGATCTTCCAGATCAGTAGCATCTGCCCTACTTTATTTTAGGAACTTCCTAGAAAACCCAAGACTAGTGATGACTAAATCCCTGACCCTTGTCTCTGCCTTCCACACTTTCTTCCTGAGTTCCTGGAACCCTCTCCTCAGTGTCCAGCCTTACTCTGGACTTCTGAACATCAGTCCAGACTTGCACACAGCCTGACCTGCTGTGAGTCCCAACCCTTCATCCCACATGGCATCTCACCAGTGCACAGATGTCCATAGTCATCACAGCAGTCGTCATGCTGGGGACACTGACGATCACACTGGCAGACTGCACCACGGTTAAATTTCTCATTACAGCGAGATGCACACGACTCCGGGTTTCCTACGGACAGTCAAGATCACCAGCTCAGTGCTTCAGGAATCCGATGCTTTTCCTAAATTGCCCCTGCAGGTGGTCTCAGGGAGGGACAGCGAAGGCCATTGCTGCCTACAGGACATACATGCTTACAGCCTCCTAGCTCAGTATGGGCCTTTCCTGCTCTTAGCCTGCCTGGCATGACCTAGGCTCAGGACACCAACCTGGGGCTCAGGCTCAGGTGACTGTTGGAGGGACCAGTGACAGAAACAAGCAAAGAAGCAGTATGTGAGAAGTAAGAAGACCGTCACAAACTCCACAGGGATAGCCTGACTTCTGTCCACAGCCACTTCCCAGCCACAGGAGATGGAGCCAGAGCCTCCAGACTGCCAAAAGAAACCTTCATTTGGGGGTGAAAATTTCTCAGATTTTTAACTTCCAACAGGCTGGAGAAAGAGGTCAGTGGCCAGGACAAGGTTCGTTGGACTGTCCTGTAAATGAAGGAGAGCCACTGAGGCAGCAGGGTGCCTCCTGCTGCTCCTCTAAGCTGCCCCTCGCTCTACTCCCACCCCCTTTCTGTTCTTTGTTCTCCTTCCTTCACCCTGTCTTCCGAATCCTATTTCCCCATGTCACATCTTTGCTCCTTCCAGCCTTTGGAATGCATTCTGTGCTTGGGTGGGGAATAAGGCCGATGTGGGTGAGAACTGGGCTTTGGGACAGGATTCTGTTATGCAACCACAGACCACATCCCTTGCTCCAGACAAACCGTTTACAGAAGCAAGCTTTTGGTCACAAGGGGATATGACCAGAGCTTTTGTTTTGTTTTGTTCTGGTTTGGTTTCATTTCGTTTTCCAAGTCAGGGTTTCTCTGTGTAGCCCTGGCTGTCCTGAAACCCACTCTGTAGACCAGGATGACCTCAAACTCAGAGATCTGCCTGCCTCTGCCTCCTGAGTACTGGAATTAAAGGAGTGAGCCACTATGCCTGAAATGACCAGAATTTTTGTAAAGAACAATACAAGTAAGCACACTGCTACTCTAAAAGAGAAACCAGGCCCAAACAGCAAAGGGAGTGCAGGGCAGAAGGTGGGGAGAGGGGTCTTCCTATTCTTGACTTAGGGGAGTTTTCATGGTGGCTCCTGAGGCCTGGGTGTTAAGAACAATGGGTTTAGGGGTCAAGCTGAGGTCTGCACAGAAGTCAGGGTCAGACTCAGAAGCCAGCCAGGCACGTTTGTAATGCCAAGATTTGTGAGACAGGAGCAGGAAGATTGGGTTTTCAAGGCTAGCCTTGGTAACAAAGCAAGTTCAAAGTCAGTCTGGGCTATATCAAATTTGTCTCAAAAGAAGCAAAAACAAAACAGCCAGAAGAAGCCAGGCAGTGGTGACACATGCCTTTATTCCCAACACTCAGGAGGAAGAGGCAGGCAGATAGATAGATCTCTGAGTTCGAGGTCAGCCTGGTCTACAGAATGAATTCCTGGACAGCCAGGGCTATATGGAGAAACCCTGTCTCGAAAAAACAATGAACCAACCAAACAAACAAACAAACAAACAACAACAACAAAACCACCACAAGAGTCAAAACTGCCATGAACATCTGCATTGGGCCAATGAAATATAAACCTAATTTAGACCAGGGCTGGCATTGGCCTTGAATTTAGAGCTATGGTGAGGATCTTGCACTAAATCCATGGATAAAGTAACAATTTTGTATTGCTATTGGGTAAGCAATGGAGTAAGATTAAACTTGATTTAGGGTCAAGCATGTACCAGCTCTAGAAAAGGAGATGTAAACTGAGTTTTGTCTCAGGTTAGACTTGGGGTTGGGATTATGTCGTGCCTAATGAGGGGTACACAGCAGAGTGAAACTGGACTCTGGTACCCAGCTGCCTGAATTGGAATCCTGGCTATGATGTTTCCCAGCTGTGTGATCTTAGACAAGTTATTTCACTTTCTGTGCCTCTGTTCCCTTATCTGTAAAAATAGGAAAAAATAGAGTCTATCTCATAGAATATGCATATGAAGTAAATGAGTTAACCTTGGCAAAGCACATCTTGTGGTGTGTGACACAGAACAGAGGCATTTCAGTCTTTGTTATATAAATAAACAGTGGCCACATTCCATGTCCATACTGTCCAAACTAGCTTCAGCAATCATCCCTGGTTAGGGAACCTGCCCACAAACTACACTGCCTGACTCCCTCCCCAAGTTCAGCTGGGCCATGCTGTGAGCTGGGTTGTTAGCAGGTGTGCGTGTTGGGATGGTTTACCAGCTGATGTCACTGTTATTATGAGTCTATTTGCATTAGAGAGGTGTCAGGTCAAGGTTACTCCAGGTCCTGAGGCCATTGCATATTGTGTGCAGGGTCTCCAACACATCCAAGAAGACAGGGCTTTAGTCCAGGCGATTGTCCTAAAGGACACCAAGTCCAAGACCACTTCTTCATCCAAGCACACAGGGAACCCTTCATGAATCTTAAGTCATCTCTCTTGGCACCTAAATGCTAAGGTCTTAAGAAAAAGCATTCAGGGCAGGAGGAAGGCTGGGTCAGCTGCTTGCCCCACCAGCCTGGCAGAACACTCAGAGTCCAGAGGGAGAGAATGCAAGCAAGTGGGGGACTGCTCTTAATGGGACACCGAGGCAAAGTCCAAGGATGAAATTCCCTCTGTTCTAGGGCTGGCAGGGTTTGAGAAGGACAGAGGAGTGAATAGCTGGCTGTGGAGTTCAGTAGAGCACTCTCACGGGCCCATGCTGTGTGGATTTGTCATCTCTGCCTCAGAGCTTTGTCCCCAGTAAGAACCCCATGCCAACAGGTCGCACATTCCTCTGTGAGTTTGTTTTGCTTCAAGGTAACTTTGGGACATGGGGGTGGCAGGCGCAGGTGGGAATTTTCCCTAGAGAACCTCACTGTGCTATCCTGGGGACACTGGATGACTCTTCATTCTGACTCCAGATCCCCACCCAGTACCTCCCTTTGGCACAAAGTCTTTGTGTAAGCCTCGCTCACCAGTTAGGGCCCGTATCACTACTTCAGCAACCTCTGCCTATCTCTCCTTTCCCTCTGCTTTTCTTCATTTTGCCTTTCCTCTCAGTCTCAGATTTTCCTAACACTCCTCATTCGGACCTCTGATTCCTTCCCCTGTGAAAAGCTAGGTTTCTCTGCATCTTCTCAGAATTTAGCATGCTACAATCTTCACACTCTTTCCCCACTGGTCATCAAGAAAGGTTGGCACCAGACCTGGATGGACACAGGATCCCTATACGTCAGCCCTCAGGCCCTTTGTCAACAGAAGCATCCTCACACATTTGACTCTCAGGGAAACCCAGTCATTATTTCCATGGAAACCTAGTGAACCAAAACCTTCATCTCCAAGACCAGCTTCCTGCCTCTGTTCACTTGAAACAGTCAAGGTCTTGGAAGGCACCTGGCTTATAGACCGTGGCCTATGCCTGGCCATGACTCCTGTATGGCTCATACTTGGGTTTCAAGTCTGAAGGTGCTGGACGCTAGGATATAACTAAAAGGAGTGTTTTTAACAAAACCTCAATTGTTCAATTTTACCAATAAAGACTCAGGAACCAGATGCTGGGGTGAAAACCTGCTAGCTCAGAGAGGTAGAGAAAGTACCCAGTGGACCTTCCTCCTCCATTGGTATCCCAGAAGCCTCCCTTTTCTCCTATACTGTCTCAAACAAGACTCCTCACACTGAACTGGTTCCAGAGTCTTTACTGGTAAAATAGAATGAGGTTTGGTTAAAAACAACACAGGAGCAGAGACTAGCTCCTGCCTTCTGGTATATCTCCACTCTACCCTTACTTCCTATCAGTCTACAGCAGAGGCTAACCAATGCTTTAACCCTTAGTAACCCAGGTCTGCCTATACCTCTGAAACCACTACAGCCATGCCCTCGGGGACCTCCTCAGAGGACCAGATGTCTCCTGTGCAATCAACTCCTGGGGCTGGCATATCCAAGTCCTGTGATCATCCTTCTACACTAGTTAGTCCCACATGCCCTCCTTCATCTCTCCAGTGAGCAGACCTGAGGTAAAGTCCCATGCCTACCCACCCTTCCCTCTTCTCCTCTTCCTCTCCAGACGCAGGCAGAGGGGAGTCTTCAAAGAAGTGTATGCAGTGTGGAGAGTCATGGGAATCTTTTTCCCTCCATGGCTTTTCTGCTTAGGAATCATACTTAGGGTCTCCTCGTACACACCCTGATGGGGAATGACACCAAAAGTCAGCTCCTCCTAGAAATATCCATGCTAAAACCTTGACAAGTTCCAATGGGCTGAGCTGGGTCCTCCCAACTCAGTGACCTCCTTCCCATTTACACCATGCAGTGGCCCCGGGAAAATAAAACCTTGGCCAAGTGTGGAGTCTGGTTATTCTAGTGATGGTAGAGCTGACCCTGCAAGGCTCTGCAATTCCTCCACATCACCAGCCAACTTCAGACACAGATCCTGAAGTCTCAACCAAGGACAGGTCAAAGAGGTCCACTGGATTAGGACAGTGTTTTTAACCTTTGTCAAGCACCCCAGTTCTCTGTTCTTTAAGCAACCCCTCCTCCCGTCATGCCTCCCAGAGAATGACTTACCAGCCCATGCCAGGCCACAGAGTACGGCCACTATCAGGGAGACACAGGCCTTCATGATGTCAGTTGCAGCAGACTGGCCGCTGGACTTCCTACTACAATCAAGGTGAATGACACAGTACTCAGGTGAGCCTTATTCCCCAAGCAGATCCTTTTAAAGACATCAAGACTTGTGGATCTGGTGTGTCTAGATCCTTCCAGGAAGGAAAGGGGGAGGGAATGGATCACAGATGGATGGGAGGTGAAGAGGAGGCGGGCCCCACAGCTGTTTGAAGCCAGAGAAAAGGTGACTCAGCAGGCAGGTCATGCCAGATGTTTAAAACAGGTAATGCTGGCTATTTGTAGCTAGAAAATAGGCCACATGAGCAGACGCAGCAAGATGGGCCTAGTTTGGCAGGTTCTTTATTCAAGTTCTAGAAAAGGATGTGCTGCTCATCTTCGGATGACCTACAGCCACCTACCTCCAGTCACAGACCTGGCCTGCCAGGGACTGCAAGTTTAGATTCAGATTCGTTGGGATTCGGGGAACTACTGTGGTCATATAGTTGCACTTCACATTCAGTGTAGAAACCCCTTCCATTATCCCAGTTCTTGTTGGACTTACACATGAATGCCTTCACTGCTGGGGAGGTCAGGGTGCCTCCTCTCTGGGCAGTTCATCTCCTCTCACAGAGCTCATTACAGATCTCATTCCTAAACCCTTAGGACTCCACAACGTAAGATGTACTGGTATAGATAAAAGTTGATAACGGGCATGGCGGTGGGAGAGGTATCAAGTCACTAAGCAAGCTATCACCAACTCGTTCATGGAGAGATGACTAGTCAAAGAACTTAGCTTCTATGCTGGCTAGTTTTTATGTCAACTTGGCACAAGCTGGGGACATCTGGGAAGAAGGAATCTTAATTAAGAAAATGCCACCCTAGGATCAGCCTGTAGGCAAGTCTGTAGGGCATTTTCTTGGTTGATGATTGCTGTGGGAGGGTCCCGCCCACTGTGGGCAGTGCCGTGCTTGGGCAAGTGGTCCTGGGTTGTATAAGAAAGCGGCCTGAAAAAGTCACGGAGAGCAAGCCAGTGATCAG